AACAAAAGCGTTATATATAAGAGGAATTTTGTTCCACTTGAACTCAAAAACCAATGGCACCTCCATGTAAGTTGTAAAAAGCTATAAGAAAAACTTTTCAAGTACTAGCATGACCTGTGAGAACCAGGAGGAGACTGCTGCAGTTCTGTGTTTTGCCCACAGGTGGCAGTTACTTTTCTAAAAAACTTTGTCATGCCTCTGTAACATACAGCTTTCTGAGGAAGCTTTTTTTCCGTATTTGCGTTTACTCAGGTAATCTTTCCTTTATATTCATTTTAAACAAAATAAGCAAAGAAGAATGAAAGCTGTTTTGGAAACGTCTCTTTGACTGCTATATCAACCCTATTTCATATCATATACCCTTCATTCTCTCATCATTGCAATCACAACTTGGATAAAAGAATTTTCTTACTGTGTTCTGTCAACTTGAAATACTATAAAGCAGGATCTGTAGCTATCCACACTGATTCCCCTGGAATATAGCAAAAACAATAAAACCAAAAAATGAAAATGTTCCTGTGAAACTTGCTCCTGTTTGTAGTTCATATTTTATTTGCTTTTATTATTTGAGTCTAATGTTTTGATTACAAGTACTTTTAGTGAAGTTTGAACTTCTTCCAGTTAGACTTTCTTTGTAGATAAAGGTTAAAAGTAAGAAAGCAAGCCAAAATGCAAGAAAGAAGAAAGTAAAAAAACAAGAAAGAAAGAAAGCAAAAATGCAAGAAAGAAATAAAAGAAAAGGCAACATTGAAAGAAACAAAAAAATCAAGAAAGAGAGAAAACAAGCAAAAAGGCAAGAAAGTATAAAGGCAAAGAGAAAAGAAAGCAAAAAAGCAAGAAGAAAAGCAAAATACAAAAAAGAAAGGAAGCAAAAATGCAAGAAATAAATAAAACAAAAGGCAATATTGAATAAAACAAAAACGCAAGAAAGACACAAAACAAGCAGAAGGCAAGAAAGTATAAAAGCAAAAGGGAAAGAAAGCAAAAAATCAAGAAAGAAAGTTAGCAAAAAGGAAAGAAAGAAAGCAAAAAGACAAGAAAGAATGTAAGCAAAAAGACAAAAAAGAAAGTAAGCAAAAAGGAAAGAAAGAAAGGAAGACAGAAAGCAAAACGACAAGAACCACATCCTTATTATTCATCCATACTTCTTTGTCTGCTTTTACATTAGGGTCACAGTGGTGCTGATCCTTATCATCAGCATTCTACGGACAAAAGGCGGGATAAACCTTAAACAGGTTGCATCCAGGGGAAGACAAAGACGCAAAACCATGCAAACACACACTCACACCTAAGGACAAGATGCCAATTAACCTAACAGTATTGTTAATGCACTGTGGGAGGAAGCCGGAGTACCAGGAGAGAACCCACATATGCAAGCGGAGAACATGCAAACTCCATGCAGAAAGACCCCAGGTCAGGAATTGAACCCAGAACCTTTTTGCTGCATGGCAACAGCGCCCCCACTGCAACACTGTGCAGCCCCATTATTGTCACTCAATGTATTTTGTATTCAAACTATTAGTGCTTCAAATCTTCTTTTGGCATCTTTGCTCTAACAATGTAAATTTATTTGTCTTGCTTACATGAAAATTTGTTTTAAGTTTAAAACTTAAAAGTTTAAAACTTTGAGCTTGAAAAAAATTTATTTTCATCTTATGCTTCTACTAGAAGTGTTGCGTGAGGAAATGTTTCCCTCTAGTGGATCAATTTTCTATTACTTTTTTTCGCACCATACTAGCTGGATTATGGGATTTCAAACTGTAAATGTAGGCCTATTAGAGAACTAAGTGGCTTTTGTGTGAAACTGTATTCATTACTTTCCCCCCTTTAACTAAATCAGGCCTCTGTGACGTGGCTCCAGAACAAGAATGGCATATTTTAGTTGCAAAATAAAACAGTACTGTATGCCTTGCCAATGCTAATAGTATGAGCTAATGTTAAGTTGTTTTTTTGTTTCTTTTAGCTCTCAAATCTCATGTGGCTTCAACACGTGTCTGGAATTTCCTTTGACAACCCCCCTCCCCATCCAACAGCAACCCCCCACCCCACAGCAACTCCTTGGACACAGAAAAACAAAAAGGCCAGAGTTTGTTGAAAACTCCCTGTGTCTGTTTTTATTAAGGCTGAGCTCACGTGAAGAGGAATCTGAATAAAAGCTGAGCACATGTTGAATGTCATTGTGTTGGCGTGTGGGCTCTGACTGGGAAAACAGATGACCGTAAATGTTGACATACTGTGCAGGGCTTTGCAGAAGTTTTTACTCATACTGTTTTCCATTTTTTTTAACATTACAGCCTCAAATCTAAATGTATTTTACTGGCATTTAATGTGACAGATCAGCACGTTGCTAAGCAGTACAAAAACAATACACGATTTTAGTTTTTTTTTCCTTTTATAGATGAAAACCAGAAACGTTTTATTTACAATGGGCTCAGTTGGCTGTGAATGATCGATTGATCAATCAGTCACTTTATTTTGTCCACATTAAACACAGGAAACAACAATTTAACTAATATATCTACTGTATGGTTGTTTTACTTGCATTTCCCAGATTTCTGAGCAATAAGACAAATAAGCCTTTGACATTTATTAAATATTTTATTTTTTGACAGTATTGAAATAGTTTTTGCAACTTTATTTCTAATATATTCTATGTAAGGCTTCAACTAAGTTTACCGTTGATTATAATCACTAAAAATGTTGTCCCATGAACCGTTTCGATTTTATTTAACGACAACTTATTGTAATCAAACCATATTTTCAACTCAGCTAACTCTTTTTCTTCTTTTATTATTATTTCATCCATATTTTTTTCAGGAAAAGATGAAGTTTGCATCGTCACCAAACATTATAAACTTTAAAATACTGAATACTGTAAAAAATATCATCTGAATAAAGTTTAAATAATTTAGGTCCTAGCACTTAGCCTTTAGAAAGACCACATTTTACTTTGTTTGTGACTTTGTGCGTTAATTTGTGCATACTGTAATCTATTACTCAAAAAAACTCTTTAGCCAGGATGCTAAGCTTTGTACATAATGTTTTTTCATTTTATAATGAATTATTTTTAAAATTATTTTCAGATGCTTTAGAGGAGTTCCTAGAAGAGTGCTGGTATTCTTTATCACATTGTAAAGCTTTTTGAAGACATTTGTTCTGAACCTGTTTCTCCAACAGATAATGGCAGAAGAGATCACACACTTAACAACAGACTTTGTAGAAGATATGAGGCATTTTGGTGCAAAACACTTTATGATCTAATCTTCTAAATAAGTATAATATATTTAATATATAGCTAAAGAAATGGTTGGTCAATATCCATATTTGTCAACATTTAAATACAATTAGACCCGCTATCACTGCCCCTGCTGCCACCTTGCATATATTTGTCTGAAGCTTGTTCTGTTTGTCTCTTATGTACATTTTAGCTTCTAGATCTTATGTTCTTTTTCCATCTCTTTAGGGACTGCAGGTGAAAAATGGCCCTTCTTGTTAACCCTGCTATATTGAATAGTATGCACTGTCGCTCTAATGAATAAACAAATATCTAAAATTGTATCTACTCTGTTCCTTCTTGTAGTCCAGTCTGCAGTCTAAATGAACACAGGGGTATTTATACTCCTCCCCAACATCCACTTCTTATTAGGGCTGCAACTAATGTTTAATCTGTCAATTCTTTTTTGGATTAATCTATTAACAATCGGATAGCTAAAAGTTCCTTAAAAAAGACTTTTTATGAAATCAAACCAGGTAAAAATGAAATCTTTCCACTTGAGGAGGCTGGATAGAGCGTATTGACGGGTGAAAAAGATTTTTTCTTTTTATCTTAAATGCAAAAGTTTCATATATTTTTTTTACAATTTTGGTATAATTGCTCTAGGTGGTTCGCTCTGATAGCTAAAGACATGTTTTAGAGTCTCTATACTCCATTTAATGATTAATCGATTACTGAATTAGTTGACAATTATTTCCATAATCAATTAATCACAAGTAATCCGATTAATTGCTTCTTATCCCATAAAATAATTTTTTTAACCTGATCTTGTGTTCTTTCTGTTTCTCATGAACTCTAAAATCAGCCCCCTTGTTTTATTCAGATTCAGTTAAGAAGATTGTTTCCACAACTTGCCACAAAGCAGTCCTTTGATTCACCCGTCTGCAGAGTCATCTGAGTTTTTTTGCAAATGACAGGACTCTGTCCTGTACTAGAAGCAGAAGGTGTACAGAGTAAAAAGAAATGGTGAAAGTACTGTCTAGTAGCAGACCATGTTATTACACCCTTAACCGTTCAGTCTCACAAACTGTGGTAGTTGCTTGTTTGCTTGCTCAGGTGGACCAACAAGAGTGTCTCTAGGATGTTTATGGTCTGGGTTTTCAGGGCAACATAAGGTCACTGAGGAATGTTGGCAAATTTTCTTTGGTACCGTCGCCTGGGCCAGGCTAATTTTCAAGAAGAGTTGTGGAATCCTACAAAGCTGCCATGCACAGGCCTTCAGGACTCTGAGGCTGACACCAGCAGGGCCTGAGGTGTTCAATTTCTCCAGCTGCCTTACATTTAGAGACAGATGGGTGGAAGGTGGAGGCAAAGGGAGCATCAGGTATGTTGGCCTTCTTAAGCCAACCTATAGTATGAAAGTGGTGCATAGTTGTATGTACTCTGCATCTCTGCTCTACCCTGTAAGAGCCAGGAAACCTGTTGAGGGTGTAACACAACCATTGTCCAATGCTTGGCAGAGGGAGACCGCAGCCCTTCTGTGAATCAAATAGATAAGCAGTTGTAGACAGTCATATGTGCAAACAGAATTATGGTAGTTATAGTTCCAAAAGCTTTTAAAATGTGATGTGAACATCGCGATGAACATTTTCCAAACCACTTTAAATCCAACATGTGGTTAAAAAAAAAAAAAAAAACCTGTAAGACATGAATAAATAATGAGGAATACATTTGTAATCAGGGACAAATAAATACAGCTAAAACAAATTAGTTGTTTGGAAGTTTTTAGTTTATTTTTTAGACACATCTATTGAATATGATACTGTGAATATGTAAGCTAGGCCTTAAAAACATATGCAAGACCAGAACATCAACAAGGATTTTTTTCCTACTGCTGTTTGTATGAAGCCATCTGTTGGAAACATTTTCCTGCAACAGAGAATGCAATGCTAGGCCTTTGCACGCTGTAGACTTTCAGGGAGGTTTCTTTTTAAAATCCCTACTATGCAAAATTCAACATCAACCAAACAGACAACCATACCTCTGAATATATGGTTAAACATGTATAACTCTTTAAAATTACCTTATATCATATTAAAACATAGAGTTGGTTGTCTTTTTGTTTTTAAATTAAATCGATCCATTTAAACCTTTAAAGGTGAAGTTTCAGTTGCTTGTTTAAAATGTTTTAATTGCTCTTTAATCACAAGATCAGCTTGGAAAATCTATGTTGAATATAACACAACTACAACTTCCTACTGTAAGGTTTGCCAGGCTTAAAGGTAAAACGTGTCGCCATGTTGGCTGCAAAGGAAGGTCAGTAGAACCTTTGAAAGCCAGAAACAGTGAGACCTACATACCTCTGAAAGTGAATATTCTTATCACATTATATTCCCGTTGGATAGTTTAGTTATGTGAATGAACTTATAAGCATGATTCAAATCATAAGTGCATCCATTGAAGCAGCAGTGATCAAGAATAAGTGAAAGTACTTTGAGTGCTACAGTAGGCCACAGACAGAATGGAGTTGATTAGTCCAGTCACACACAACAGATCTTTGTTCAATGATCAATGACCGTTTCAATCAGTTTTGCTGAAAATCTTCTCACTCTCCTTCAACTGAAGGGACTAAGCCTCTTCTTCATGTAGAGAAAGGCAAGGTACGTGGCTCCCCCAAGAAAGCCGACCAGCAGAGTTGTGCCAACTATAACCGGAGCATTCCTTTTGGCTACTCGGAACGCGACAGGAAGAACAGCTGAGATCAAGATGTTGTTGACGTGACCCAGCACCCTCCTGAAGGCTGGCCGCTCGACAACTCGCTCGTAGTATGTTTCTACATTGACACGGTTGCCATTGCCCCAGTAGCGCCGGGAGAGCCCCAGGAACTTCAGTCGGTGCAATGTGACAGCCAGAGAGACGTCGGCCATGCTGAAGAAGTCTCCACACAGCCATGAAGGGTTTCCTTCCTCTGGTAGATAGAGGAAGACAAAAATATTTTAGTATTATGGAAAATTATCCCAAATATCACTTATGGAGGGTGGGGGGGCTATGACAGACCTGGTGTTTCCTCCACTCTCCTTTGCAACTCTGTCTCCACCTGGTCCATTACGCTTTCCAGTTCATCCAGAAGCTTCTTAAGATACTTCAGGTTATCATGGTCAAACAACTTCGACTACAAAAAACAACACATATTGACAAAAGTGGGCTCAATTGATCAGTCTGACTGAAAAACCCTGATAATGCCATGTCATAATGCCCTCACATTAAGGCTTATAGTTATTTTTTTATTCAGATTATTAGGTATAATAAAAATAAAACTTTTACCAAACATCATTGTAAGCAAATATGGTTATTTGACCTAGTGACATTTGGCAAATCATACCTCAGCAAATTCTAAATTAAATTGTTACATGTTTTAAATAACATAAATAAAAATTTGAGTGTAGGCCTGCAGACATCTCCAAAGCGAACCATAGCAGCACAGATATTTAGTGAAGCTATGACTCAAAATTGTACTTTCACACATTTGGCACTTTGCTAACATCGTTATCCCAACTTACTTTCAAACGCCTCTGTTTTGCTATGTAAGCATCTTTGAGCTCTGGGTTCTGCTCAGCCAGTTTCGCTAGCTCTGTCTGTGTATTTCCAATCTGTGCTGCCAACAACAAACAGGGACAGACATCATAAGGCATTCCTGAGGTCTAAGTGAAAAAATCAGTTATTTTGATGTTAAACATACAGCCTGTTAAAATACATTTCTGATAATATGCATACACTCATAATAGGTCTTTAATCATGCATTAGAACCAGTTTTGGGGGATGGGGTTAAAGGAAAATGGAACCTAGCACTTCACAAAATAATAATAATAAAAAAGATTTGTGGATTTCTTCATGCTACCACTGTGTGAAGGTTTTATATATAGAGTCTTAAAGATGCATAAATCCCATTTCAAAATGGAATGAATGTCATTTAGCCTGTTAGAGAAAAATGAACTCAGGCTTTATGGAACATCACTGTCACTATCCACACTGAGGCAAGTTTTGATTTATTAAATGAGGGCATAAACCAAGAGAAGATAATAAATCAGCACATTAATGCTCTACAATTTGCAGCCTTATAGGTAAAATTAATTCCTTCTGGGAAACATTTTGTTCATAAGATGAGATGAGAAAAGACAAGATAAAGCTTTCTTAGCAAGGAACACAGAACTATTAGTCAATTATAACAGTGGAAGCATCGTGTTCTGATTCTGTTTTACTGTAAGCTGCAGATAAAGCAAACCAATTTTGTTTTATTTAAAATAACATTTAGATGATAAAACAGTGTCTCATGTATTGTTTCAAGGAGTACAACAGTTACAAACATTCATTCAACTTGGGTAAGGAAGAGAAAAAGGACAACATTAGGTTTGTAGGATAGTTCAAGCCTCTATTCTATTTTTTTTTTAACTATGATAGTTCATTTGAAAGATGGATGCCACTACCAGTATCTATGATTGGAAGAATAAATATAATAAAAATGAATATATTGCCAAAGGTACTCTATGTATAAGAAGTCCAGACTCCGTTTGTCTCTACTATATCTCCCTTATGACCCAGGACGCCTGAAGTGCCCAAATTTTCACTTGTATTACTACATGTATGCTGTGCAGTTGAGGTCTATGATGTTCTATTACAGTAATCATTTTCCACATTGGATTGATATGGAAACTCAAGATTTAAATTTAACTCTCCCTTCATATTTTTATTCAAATTCAATATCAAAGCTTCTGAAATATACTAAAAATCTATTTCTTAAAAATATGATAAGAGTATGGAGAGATATAAAAATAATTTTAATAAAACAAATTGTCAGTCTTTGTTCAGACCGGTGTGGGGTAACCAGTTTTTTTTTACCTGGAAGAACTGATCCAACATTCAAATTCTGGACAGACAAAGGACTTCAAATGATTCAGAATATTTATGTACCAGACTCAGACATACTAATGAACTTTCAAGATCTACAGCATAAATTTCATCTGGATAAGAAACATTTCTTTAAATATCTTCAACTCAGAAACTTCATAAGAACAAATCAAAATAATAAGTTGAAGAAGCCTGCCATCTCAACTTTAGAAAGAATGTTAACAAAGGACAGTTTGAAAAAAGGTATCACAACAGAGTTTTATAACTTAATGATGTTACAAATTTCAGAAGGATCTCATGATAGACTTAAGGCTTGGAAAAAAGATCTATCGATTGAGTTAACAGAGGAAGATTGGTAGACAGCATGTAAACTGGCCCACACCAGCTCTATTAATACATCTCTTAAAATGATTCAATATAAATGGCAAATGCGAATTTACATACCACCAGAGACCTCAATAGATATAACAGGGAGATACCTGATGTATGTCCAAAATGCACAGGGGATAAAGGGACTCTGGCCCACTTTATGTGGCATTGTAGAGAAATTATACAGTTTTGGAAAGAAGTAAAAGGTGCTATAGAAAACATATTTCCCAAACAAATAATTTTCGAGCCAAGGTTGTTTGTGTTTGGATTGTTCCATGAGAAACATATTTACACAAAAAATGAACGAGTGTTTATAAACTTAAATTTGCTTAATGCGAAGAGATGTATATCAATGTTTTGGAAAAAGACTCACAGACCGAGCATAAACCAATGGCTGCAGCAGATGTTATCTGTCCTACCTCTGGAAAAAAATCATGTATATATTAAAGGACAAACAGGACGTGTTTTAATCTATTTGGAATTCCTTCATTAATTATGTTAAAATTCTGAATATCTCAAAAAATGGTGCAAGTGATTGCAGAACATGTGAACCCCAGTTTCCAAAGACAATTTATTGGAGGACATATACTGTCAAATTGAATTCTCAGTATAAGAGGCTAAGCATGAAATGTGATCAGTCGCATTGGAACAAATGTAGTGTGAGGCAATTTGTTGTATGTATTTTATTTTGACTTGAACAGTAACGTAACTATTGCTGTGATTTTATTTTGTATATTGTTCAAAATGTTTGTTTAAATTGCTAAAATTTGAATAAATATTTTTTGGGGGGAAAAAATCTAAGAATGGAGGAATTCTAAACACCAGTCAGAAATAGTCCATAACCTTGCAGAGGGCATCACAAATTTAGTAATGGTGGTTTCAACTTTGAAAAAATTTGAGTTAAAGTTCAAATAATTAGGGAAAATAAAGTTGAAATGGGATGAACAAGAAAAAACATAAATGAAAATAAAGTTTTATATGTCCATACTGCATATTCTTTTTTAGCCATAAAATTAAAACTTAGGAATTCAATAAGAAGTTAGCTTAAATAGGTCAGTCTAAGATCCTTTTCAATTGTTTTGGAAATGAAATGAAATTGTTATGAAACTGTCTGCAATGTACTGAACTGTGTTGGAATCTGTGCTGCTTTCTTGGCTAGGGCTCCCTCTCAGTAATCTCAATGAGACTTTTATAAATAAAAAAATAAAATAAAATTTGATTTAATGTCATTACATTGTCACAAGTACAGAGCAACAAAAATGAATTCTCTGCATTTAACCCATCCCCTTGGGGAGCAGTGGGCTGCCATTGTGCGGCGCCCGGGAGCAGTGTGGGGTTAAGGGTCTTGCTCAGGGACCCAGAGTGGCAGTCTGTGGGAGTGGGGGATCAAACTCACAACCTCAGGATTCAAAGCCCTATGCCCTAACCACTAGGCCACCACTCACCCTGGTTAACTTCTGGTCAAATAATTAACAAATCATTAAAAACAACTAATAATTCAACATTCTTGTCAATGATGAATTTGTTAGATTACCTCTTATTACAAATGGAATTATAAAGCATTTCAAACATCTGCTTCATTAGATATTTTTCCCACCCCTTATCTCTTTATTTAATAGAAAAAAAAATCTTTTGTAGAGACCAGTTTTAATATAATTGTATAATACAGCTTTAGATCTAAGTAGGCGGTACAATAATTAATTTAAAAAATAACTAAATGCATGTATCAGAAGTAAGCTTTCAAATGTTGAGATCTCAGGCAGCCTTACTTCTTATTGATGCAGCAGCATATGTTGGTATGTGGGAGTCAGCAGTGATCTGTGGATGGAGGATACAGCCGTGTGTATATGCATCCATCGGCAGTGAGTCCAGCAGCTCCCTGTAGTGCTGCACCCTAAGATAGTACCTGCTGCCCTCTTCAGGAACCAACCTGGGAGTTCCCTCTGGAGATACACAGGTCATGGAAACATGAAAAACACTGGCATTAAAACAGACATTTTTCAAAAAAGATATAAAAGATTTCCAATCATCAAAATAGAAGTTTCATAAATACACTCATGAAAAAAGTAAGTATACCTTCTGATTTCAAAGCTTGTGAAGTACCAGACGTTAAAGTTGTGTTTTCTGAATCTTAAATTATTGTGGTAAATTTTAGCACATTCTTCTTTGCTTTGATTAACAGTTATGGTTCTGCATATCTCTTGTCTTGTCACTGCATTACAATCACATTGAGGTCTTTCATTTGAGTTTGAGTTTTGGTACAAACTTACTTCGCTTGTTTGGGCCAGTCTGTTATAAACATTGTGCACAGACAACGTGCACAATTAGTACACAAGGACATTTTTTGGTCAACTAAAGAAACCGCGAGCCCTTCATGTGCCTGATAGCTGATATGGTTTGTTCAGATGTGCTCTGTTGTTTCTTTACCTACCATTACAGTCTGACATCTCTACTACTGTAAGCCCTGCTGTCACATTCCTTTTAGAGAAAAACATATTTTTCGTGATGTTTTTCCTTGTTTGGTATTTTATTAATTGAACTGACCTGGATTTTAAAAATTTACATATTCTTAGTCGGGCTTTTAGATCATGAGATCAAGTTTTTTTGAATCACACTAATCACAATCACACTACCTGGATAGCTGATAGCTGATATGGTTTGTTCAGATGTGCTCTGTTGCTTTTAGATCATGAGATCAAGTTTTTTTGAATCACACTACCTGGATGAGACATTTTTTCATTAAATTTAAGCATTAAACTTCTTTTTTCCTATGACCGTATCTAAAAGACTACATATTTGAGAATGATAAATTGATAATATTCAATGTTTTAAAACTTTAAAGTTTAAACATATGTTTTTCTTTTTTTATATATAATATACTTACCAGATTTTGTCCATTTGCAGTGCAGAATCTTAAAGCAAATCTTTGGATGAATACAAACCAAGACAAAAATTAAAAGTAAATAAAAAAAATATATACATGCAGTTCTAAACTAAACTTGGCAGAAAAAAATGAATTAACTGAAATTGGCAGAAACTTCTAACATCAGATTTCTCATCTCTCATTTTCTGCATTACACTTTTTGTTTGAAAATGCTCTGCCTGAGTTAATTTCTGTCAAATTATGTACTTTATTATATTTTTGGGGGATTTTACATATTACAACAAGATGCAGTAATTTGGAAGAGGAAGGAAAAAATATGGACTTCTTTCCAAACTTTTCACGTATTTGTTTTTATTTGTGATGTTCAATAAATATTCTGCCAATTTTACTGTTTCTCTTGGAAAAAAATCCAGAGCAAACTAATTTATACAAATATTACAAAATTGGTAACTCATGGATGAAAGAAAGCCACAGGATATCCATTATTTAGTTTTCTACAAGCAATGTAATGGATAGCAAAAAAATAAGCAAAAACAGATGCTCTGATGAGATGATACCAAAATATGTCTCTTTTACCAACTCTAGATTCCTTCTGATCTGAACGCATCATCCCCACTGTGACACAATGTGATTGCAGCATCAAGTTCCGATGCTTTTTACAATAATAAGGTTTAGATCAAAGCAACACATTTCCAACGAACAAGATTTCAATTGATAAATCTACAAAGCACACACACTGAAGATGGTTTGCACGTTTATGTATTGAAATAAGTCTAACGAATGGCATCCAAAAGGAGTTACTGGAGATAATAAAACATGTGAAAGGTTCAAGGGGTAATGTCCAAACGCACTGACGCCCTACCAGTGTTAAAGTTTTCCTCCAGATAGTCCATGATCTGTGTCGGATCGCAGATGACATTGTCGTTGTGGACCAGGACCGGCACCTCACCCGCTGGGTTCAGACGCATGAACCACGGCTCGTTGTGTTCACTGAGAGGGAGGCTCACATCGTACTCCTCACAGCGCAAACCCTTCTCCGCTATGGCCAGACGTACCTTAATAATGATCGAAAGCACCATCATAAACCTCAAACCCCTACAAATGTGTAAAGTTTTTATAAACAAACATGTGTTCTGATTCCCCGTTTTGCAGTTGTAAATAAATAAACCGGGAGCTGTCCATTGAGGTGTGGTGCTGAAACTATGACACCGACTCACCTTCTGGGAATTAAAGGACTGGGTCCAGTGATAAAGCGTTAGTTTTGATTCCTTGTTACACAGCACTGTTTCACCCTGTTGTTGTGCCTCCTCTTCAGATGATTCTTGTATAAGAGCTTTTTTATCATCTTGGGTTTCCGAACCATTTTCCGACGCCATTTTAGCTGTTAGTGCTGCAGGGGACAAGACAATTGCACAGCGCCGAATAACGTTGACACTACCCCTATTGGTCAGGCGTAGAACTTAAAAAAATGGTATTTCATAATTTTTGTTTAACTATAT